TACGTTCATCTCTAGGCTGAGTCAATGCAGAAGATACAGCAGGTGGATCAATAAGTGAACTAGCTTCCTTTTGAGTCATCTCAAGTTTACGAATTTGCAAAACATGATTTTCGTGTTCTTGTCGTTTAATTTGTAACTCTAATTCTTTAAGTTGTATTTGCAATACAAGATCAGATTCAACTGTAACGGAATCAGCCGACACAGACGCCTCAACAGCGCTCTTCTCCATCTCAGTTTTTTGTTCACTCTCTTCACACAACAACCCTTGTTTAACCAATCCAATAAATACAGCAGATTTAATTACTTGTTTAGAAGCAGTACTTACTACAGAAATATTCAAAACATCTGCAATCTGCAATAGATCTCTTTTACGAAACTTATTAAACTGCTGCACACTCGGATTTGAAATGAATTCATCAATATCTAACTCCATAATGAATCAAGAGATACATCTGAAATTCCTTTTCAAACATGAAATAAACAGGGTTAACTGAATCTTCAAATACAGCATATTTGAGAGTGCCAATAACAAACATCCAAAAAGACTAGATAAACAACAATTGGATATGCTCAAAAAGCAAACAGGGCCTCAATTGTCATTTATACAAACAAAAACCAAATAGACGAGCCCCCAATTGTTACGAATTAAATTAAAAATCCTTAATCAAAAAGAGATGTAACCAAAAACGTAACAAAATAACAGGGATTAAAAATATAATCCCTGGTGCCCCCGCGCTCTCTCTCCCCAAAATATACCAAAAACACAACCACTAAGAATTAACAAGAAAATATGATTTATTTACAGAAATAAGGAGCAAAAATAACATCAGGAGGGGTTCAGCCAAAATAAATGACAATAAACCAAGCTAACTAAATTAGATTAAACTTCCCTAGAAAACAAATAAAATAAAATACAGAAAACTTACCTCCCTACTAACAAACACAGGAGAAAACGAAAATAACAAATAAGGCACCAAACCTCCCTACATGCTCCAAGCCCGACAGGGAGACAAACCGGGTTTCAATCGCCGGTTAAAAATTTAACACAACGGCATCTCAATATACATGCAAACACTCATGGAATCACGTTCTCCACTGAGTACAAGCGGGGAAGATCGAGAGAGAGCGGGGAGCCATCGAACCCATGTTCTCTTCAGGTTTTTATAGCCGCCGCCAATCATGGTCCGTCCCAACGTAATCCGCTGCACCTGCGAATACTTAGAGTGAGAAAGAGAGAGAGAGCGAGAGAAAGAGAAAGAAAGAACGCGAGAGCGCAAGAGAAAAACCACACACAAGCCTACACTACACTACTCGTAACAACACACATAATTAAACCGTTGTTGTCCACTTCATCTGATGTTATGAATGAGACGTCAATCAATGCTAGCATTTTCATAAAATATATTTCAGTGTTGAATTTTTTTTATCATGATTACTGTTTTTCTGTTGTTTAAGAAAAGGGTTGGACTCAACTTTTGAAGTTTTAATACCCTGTCCAACTATTATTTTTTATTATTTTATTTCACACTTAGCATTTCAGTTCTGTGGCTGATTGTGACAAAACATTTATTCCTGTTCGAAATAAACAGAAAAAGAACCTTACCCGTCAATGGCATTTCTAGTTTAAATGGCACCCTGGGCAAACCACCCCATATTCAACTACATCTCTCCTTTCTGCTTCATAGTCATGCTCAGTCAAAATAAGATCATCATCACATTTTAACTTTAGTTTTATCGACTTGCGAAGCTCGCTGCGTACTGACACCTCTGCATAAATATTACTCCAGTTTCACAACGCAAAAGCGGTGTGCGTTCTTTTGGTTTGTGCATGCGAAAGACGCCAAATGTGAATGACCCCTAACATCTTTATTTTAAGATTACCACTCTAAATTAACACACTTGCATAAAGTAAATCATTTCTCAATACTTACTGGGTCAATTTTTTTTCACCCAGCAAGGTGCCGCCCTATGGCGATCGCCCATATTGCCCTTGCCTAAATCCACCACTGGTTCCCATAACAACTTTGGTACCCCAAAATCGAGATACGTCCTAAAAATGTGACTTCAGTGTAAGCTTACACCCTTAATAAATATATGTATAGTTTTATTTTATTGTTTATTTATTTTTATATAGATTTTTTTTTTACCACCAAATCATAATCACACATCAACCTAATTTCTTTGACACTGAAGATTAGAAAATTCTGTTTTGCCATCAAATAAAAATTGTAGAAAGTGGTTATTTTAAATCAAAATATTTGTACAATTATACTGTTTTCACTCTATTTCATAAAACCCTAAAAAAAGGTGAACCCTTAATATTGAATGATCTCAAATTATGAATGAAATTATAATTAAAATTTTTCCAGGTAAACATAATAGCAGATGGTAAACACATTAGCTTTGTAAACATATAACCACTTCTAAACATATATATTTGCCTAATGTTTGCACTTGCATTGTCCAATGACCTCTCACAGAGGATGTTTTAGTAGCATTCTTACAATATATAGCTTTCATTCAGAGCCACAAAACCCTTCTGGCGGTGATGTTGAAGCCATGGCTGCTGTGTTTTTATTGGCCTGGTAATTGCTGCAGTTTCATCCATTAGATGTTTTTTTTTTCTGCAAGTTTTTATTACACAACCTGACATCTTCGGAAAGAAGGTTATTAAAACCCTGGCTGTCCTTACAACTGGATTGCAGCTCTCAGATCAGTATAAGCAGAAGCATCTGTCATTTTAAAGAGAGTAAAATGCGCTTGGAAAGACTTGATTTGGACAATAAAAGCCAACATCTTCAGAGAGTCATCTTATTACCGAGACCACAGAATAAACACACAAACATGTTGACTTTTGTAGTGAGTGCGCAGTATTATTGTGTAATGTTGTTCTCATGCAGGTGTTTAATATTTTTGTGTGTGTCAGTGTATGTTAGAACGGTTTGGACTTTGATTTGAGTCATTTTACAGTTTCTGTTTCTTAGAGAAACATTGATTTATACTTCAGTTTTGAGTTGAGTTGAAGCCAGTGCTTTGATTGCTTTGTGTGGATTGTGTCACAGTGTTCATTAAGACACTCTCTCTTGTGAGGTTTGTGCTGGACATTTTCTGAGTCCTTTCATTATTTCACTCTGCCCCTGCTCAGGGAATTTTCATCGGATTATTGCAGTTTCTTGAAGAGCTAGAAGGAGCTTTTAGGGCACCACTAGATTATGATTAACTTTTAGGGCACCACTAGATTATGATTAACAACAGATTGGAAAAATATTGATATTATATTTATGAGTTTATTAGCCTTCCTTTGGCTTAGTCCCTGATTTATCAGGGGTCACCACAGAGAAATGAACCACCAACTGCTCTGGCATATGTTTCACACATGGGTGCCCTTCAAAACCCAACCCAGCACCATGCTGTACTGTAAAAAATTATATTGATAAAAAGTCACGACTACAATGTAAAAAAAATAAAAATCTATTTACCTGGAATACAATAGCAGTTTGGTTAGAGGCTCTTACTCATTTATGTGGATTTCATAATTGATTTTAAATATTAGTAAATAAATTAGGAAACTACCCATGGCAACTTTATTGTAATATAGTTGGGTACACTGTAAAATATGAAAGGTTAAGGTAACTCAAACTGTTTGAGGAAACCGATTGCAACAGACCATTTAAAGTCAAAAACTAACCATAATGAGTACTGTGAACTTAATCCATTTGAGTAAATGAAGCAATTTGAGCACAGTAAACCCCAATAAATGAAGAGAACTCAAACCAACTGAGTACTATAAAAGATAATAAGTTAAGGGAACTCAAACCGCTTGAGGAAACCGATTGCTACAAGTCATTTGAATTAAAAAACAAATTTATATGTGTGCTGTGAGTACTCCATTTAAGTTGAAGTAATGAGGTATTTAATTAACACATTACCTTTAACACTGAGTTCAAAACTCTTCTCAAATGAGTAGAATTACCTTTCAGTTAATTTTGAGTTAACTACACTCATTTCATTTGATGAAGTTGACTGTTTAACAGTGTATATTTACTTTCAGCCCACGGCTCTCAATGATATTTGTTCTTTGCTCTTCATACGAAAAGTTTTGGGAACCCCTGCTCTAAACAGAAATGCAAATCAAGATTTGGTAAAGGAAGCACTCGTTTTATTTTAGTTTAAGTTTCTTCCCTCTACATTAGATTACAGTGGCTCAATTTCTATACAGCTTGGCAACCATTTCTGTTGTATTTAAAAAATAGCTTTATATATCCCATATTGCATATTTAACCCTGTTTGTATCTCCCCCCCCTCTTGCTTTCGAATGATACAAACTTATCTACGAGTGTATTAAGAAAAGAAATTGTGTGATATTTTACATTTAACATTGGCCTACTTAGGTGTCATTTGTTAATTTATTATTATGTATATGTATGTGTTTTTTTTTCTTTTTCTTTTTTGGTTTGTTTGTTCCTTTTTTGTTGTTGTTTACTTTATTTCAATCTCAATATGGTTCAGAGAGTAAGGAATGTGTTTAATTACCACTCAGTATTTTATTTACACTGTGAAAGTAATGTGTTGTGGTTTTTCTTTCCCTCACTTGTAATGCCTCTCTGATTGAGAATTGTCAATAAAAAGAGTTAAACAAAAATAATAATAATAATAATAATACAGTGGCTCAGGTTGCATGCAAATTGCCTAGAAGACTGTAAACCTTTAAATTTACCTTCTCCTTCCCCTACACCAGGGGTACTTGAAAACATTAGCATCTTGATGTCTCTGTTATATAACTATAATCATGTAATTACACACTAATATGTTTTCCCCCTTTTCAGTTTCATTTAATGTTATAGTGCCATCTTTCTATTTGGTAATCTTTTAAGCCGCACCCGTGTGTAAATTAGTCACAGTACATCTCAAAATAATTCAGCTTTGTGCACTTATTTGTATGGCTAAATGTTTTGTTTTTTGCCCTCAGCTCACTAATGAGATCTCTTTGTGTTTCACAGATGTTGGTGAGGATCTTCTGAACATGTGCCAGAGAAATGTGACCGTGAACAAGCAGCACTTTGAACCCCAAGGTAAACATTAACGCCAAATCATGATGTCAAGCAGCGTTCTCTAATTAACGACAGCTTTTAGGCCCTTTCATGTTCATAATGTGTGTCATAAGGATGCCATACTTCCTCTGGCAGACCACCTGTGTTCTGCTCCTCTAGTTCATGCCTCTGTAATGGTGTAAACAATCCGGTGAAATAAAGCAGCACTGGGAAAAAAGCTGGTGAAAATAATGAAAATGTTTTTTCTTCAGTTTATAAAGTGATTTTTACAAGGCTGCAACCAATGCATTTGTCTAGATGTTCTCTGTAATGTCTTGTAATAAGTTAAAACTAGATTTTTTTTAACGTCCTGAGACAAATTGAGTGGTTTTCTACATCTTAAAGGAAAAGTCTAAAGCATTTCTTATTTCTTATATTTTATATATGTACTCTACCTGACAAAATTCTTGTCGCCTATCCAATTTTAGGGAACAACAAATAATAACTTGACTTCTAGTTGATCATTTGGTATCAGAAGTGGCTTATATGAAAGACGAAGGCCTATATATTACACTTATTTTACCAAAATAAAATATGATTATGCCCTGCTTTTTAAAAAAAATTATTAGAACTGTAAAGATCTGACTTTGCTTAAAAAAGTCTTGTCACTTAACATAAATAATTTACAGTATAGAATATAAAGTCATGGTGCAGTGGAAAAATAATGAATATTGTGTATGACTCCCATGAGCATGGAGAACTGCATCCATACATCTCTGTAATGACTCAAATAACTTATTAATAAAGTCATCTGGAATGGCAAAGAAAGCGTTCTTGCAGGACTCCCAGAGTTTATCAAGATTCTTTGGATTCATCTTCAATGCCTCCTCCTTTTTCTTACCCCAGACATGCTCAATATTGTTCATATCTGGTGACTGGGCTGGCCAATCCTGGAGCACCTTGACCTTCTTTGCTTTCAGGAACTTTGATGTTGAGGCTGAAATATGAGAAGGAGCGCTATCCTGCTGAAGAATTTGCCCTCTTCTGTGGGCAGCACAAATGTGTTGATACCTCAGGCTTTAGTCCATGCTGGTTCCAATAGGTTTTCTGCAGCATTTGTGATGATTGGGATGCAGTTCAAATAATGATTCATTGGAAAAAAATTTACCTTCTGCCACTTTTCCAAATGATCAACTAGAAGTTATTATTTGTTGCTCTTACAGCTGGGTTCGATGACAAGACTTTTGTCAGGTAGTGTTTATATATAATTTTTAAAACATTTTTGTTTGTGATTGGTGCTTGTTTGGATGTAGTTGTATTATTTATTTATTTATTTATTATTATTATTATTATTATTGTTATTATTATTATTGTTATTATTTCTAACCATGATAGTTTCTTAATGATGCTAAAACAACCCTGATGCACTCAGGGATGCACAAAATAACAAAAAGCAATCATTTTTCCCATTACAATCTAAAACAATTGCAGTTGTCAGCACCATTTTACAAAGGTCTGACAGGTAAAACATGAGCTCATTGATCTAATTCAATTGGTCTGACACTTGATTCAAACCATCAATCCTAATAAGAGGCCTTTGTAAATCCCTTAAAGCAGTACTCTTGTGCTCATTTCACAAGATGAAATGGGAGCAAAAACATCCTGACTCTTTTTCAATAAAGGTGGTACAGCTTTTTAATTTGGCTGCTCCAGTAATAACAAACGAAACATCTGCTTGAGTTTTTACATGATAGTTCACCCAAAAATGAAAATGATGTCATTATTTACTCTCCTTTTATGACATTCCAAACTTGTGAGACTTTTGTTCAGTTTCAGAACACAACAATATATTGATGAAATCTGAGAACCCTCTGATTTTCCCGGAGACAGCATCACTCCTAGAAATAAAGATACAAAATCTGTCACTGGGGCAATGCCTTTTCAAAAGGTACTTTTTTGTTCTTAACAGGTCCTTTAAGATACAAAGAACTGCTAAAAAAGTACACATCTGTACCTTAGGGCTGGGCGATTTGCCCTTAAATCAAAATCTTGATTAATTGAATATTTTAACTCCATTGTGATTAATGTATCAATTAATTATTTAAAGTAATAATTTAATTATTTAAATGATTAAAGTAATTAATAATTTTATTTATGTTTTTTTTTTTTGCCTTCATAGCTTACTGACTAGTTTTGTACAGTAAATATGCTCACAAATTAAATGTGAGAAATTTCTGACTAAAAAGGGCATTTAAAATAATTGAAGGATATCTACTATCTATGATTATTTATTAAAAAACAATGTTGAACAACTGAAATTAAAACTCACATTGCCTAACACTTAATAAATAAATAAAAATATATATTTTCAATGTTTTTCATATTAAAAGTAGAAAATAATCAGTATTTCTTTTAAATAACTCATCTAAATCCTGTAAATAATATTTTAAACAGTGCATTACTTGCATCTTCTGTAAACATTCATTCATTCATTTTCTTTTCGACTTAGTCCATTTATTATTTATTCCCAATTTACTCTGAGGTCACCACAGCGGAATGAACCGCCAACCTTTCCAGCATATGTTTTACGCAGCTGATGCCTAGCAACCCATAACTGGGAAACATCCATACACACTCATTCACACACACTTCGGACAATTTTAGCTTACCCAATTCACCTTTACCACATATCTTTGGACTTGTGGGGGAAACCTGAGCACCTGGCGCAAACCCACGCAAACACCCGGAGAACATGCAAACTCCACACAGAAATGCCAAATGACTCAGCCGAGGCTCAAACCAGTGACCTTCTTGCTATGAGGTGATTGTGCTATCCACTGCATCACCACGTCATCTTCTGTAAACAAATATTTTAATGTAAAAAATCATTTTTATGCAATGGAAAATATGCCGTCTCAATGTATCTCAATAATCAATCTCAATAAGCTTCCAATAATCGTCAATGTAGTGCCAAGTAAAGCTCAAGAAAAGGTCCATCATCCTACTTGACCAGAGATCAGATGTGGGTGCAAAGTGGCCTCAGAAATATAAATCTGCCTCAGCCTTTAACAGAGCGGGGTCATGTGACTGTACATGCGGTAAAAAAAGCATGTTCTGAATTTTTATTACTTTTAGATTAATCGCCCAGCCTTACTGTGCCTCATAGTACTTTAAAAGTACAGAAGTGTACCTTAAAGGTACTAATGTGCAGCTGTAAAATACAAAATGTACCATTTGAAAAGGTTCCGCCCCAGTGACAGATTTTGTACCTTTATTTCTGGAAGTGAACGCTCCTGACATGTTCAAAGCCCAGAAAGTCTCTTTAGTGGTTTAGTTGTAATTTATGAAACTGAGAACAATCTAGGTTCACCAAAATGAAAATTCCGGCAGAATCTAAAAGTTCTTAATGCATGTGACTGAAAACTGAAACAAAAATTCTTTGTAATAATTATTTGTTATTTTATTAAATAAGATAAAGCAATTTTAGACTATTTAAATCTAACTCCTTCGTTCATTTATTTTCCTTCGGCCTATTCTTTACTTTCGCCAATTAATAAAGTTTGTTTCTCGCCGCTGTCGCCATTTGCTTGGATGGTTCTTGATCTGTAAAGCTGCACATCGATGATTTTGCTCTTCAGTGTTTGGACTCCCAGTAGTGATTATTAAACCACACTGAACTGAGCTGAACTGAAACACTGAAAACTGAACTACACTGTTTCAATTTACTACGTGAATTAAACTTACTATGTGAGTCTGCTTTGACTCAATCTACATTGTAATAGCACTGTACAAATAAAGGAGAATTTAATTGAATTGAATAGTCTATATTTCAGAGGTTGCTATAGTGGAATGATCGGCCAACTATTCCAGCATATGTTTTTCCGGCCGCAACCCACGCCAACACAACGAGAACATGCAGACTTCACACAGAAACGCCAAAATGTCCAGCCAAACTCAAACCAGTGACTTTCTTGCTGCGAGGTGACAGTGCTAACCACTGAGCCACTATGCCATCCTTAAATTTAACTCACTAACTTAAATTAAACAAAAAAAAAGCCAATAAAATAACCACATTTTACCGACAGTCAAATTTAAGTGACAGTCAAAAGGTACAGCAATGTTGCAAGCAGCCAACTATACTACATAGTAATGTCCCATCAGTGCATTATTTGAACAGACTTGCTTTTCCATTGACAGGTTAATGCACACAGAATGGAATTTCGGTCTATTTAGAACTTTGACCATGGCACACACACAAGCTCGGGCTGGATAGAGACTGAAAACAGCATAACAGCATGCTTAACACTGCTGGGCATCGTGACATAACATAACCCCTTTCTTCATGTTTTTTTTTTTCTTTTTTGTTACCCGAAAAGAAAAAATGTTATACATCAGCAGAGTGACATGCATACAGATGAAAGCACACCTTGAACTGTAGATGACACAAAGAGGCAAAAAATAACCAACTGCAGCTTTAAATTCAGGACATTGTGACATTGTACGTTTCCAGAAGAAAACTCAGAACTAATCAAGACATCTGAGGGAGTTCAGAAGCAGAACTTACTGATTATATTGAGAATAACCCTCTTCAGAAAAAAAACAGCAACATTAGACACTAATGGAAGTGTAAAAAGCATAGTATGACCTCTTTTACAGTATGTGTAATCTTTAAGGTGTATTTGAATGGTGCTGTTTTTCTTCCCTTCATCTCGGTTTTCCCTCTAATACACCCGACAGAAAGTGAGATCATGGTACGTCAGCTGGACTGGATGGCGGACGATTTCTGCACAGGTAAGAAATCGAGGGGATACTGGTGTGATTTGCTAATTGGTGTAAATAGAGGCAGACCCTCACCCCCAGTAAAAATCCATTTGTAAGTGAGAAGTGGACTCTGTCAGTGACGCATATTACACAGGGCTTCCTCGCACTTCTAATATCAGCAGTGCTGACTTGTGAAATAGAAATTTTTGAAAGTCGACATGTGGTCATCTCACTAATGTTTTAACTCTCTTCAGATGCAGATTTGGAATTCAGCTGGACTGACATTGAAGTAGCGGACTTGCATGATAATACCACTTTTGTGATCGCAGCAGACGGTGATTTTGCTTTTTAGAATAATCACACAAAATTTGTTGCCTCAAAAACAAAAAGCATAAAACTCTGTTTACATTGTATTTTACATCTGTCTAAAAGGACATTTCATGCATGGTTCACTCACTTATAAAATCGCCCCAATCAATCTAAAATGAAATTTTTTTCTAAGTACAGCTATTCATGTCATCTGGGAGATTGTTTTCATATTGCAATGTATATTGCAGAAAACATAACATCGCAATGTTCAATTTTTCCAATATCATGCAACCCTAATTGAAATGTATTTTAATATATAATACCAAATGCCTCAATTTATTTGTATCAAAATAAACTACAAAAAATCTTCAATGTAAATGTCAATGTAAAATATTAATGTAAAATATGGTATTTTTTTATTTTAGAAATACTAAAAAAGCACTTTTACAAGGGAACATAAAAATTCTTAACAAGTCTTGCATCAATTACCTGTTTGATCTGTCTCTTTTATTACACTGGCTGAATTAAGTGACATATACTACCAGTTAATGGATCAAAAATCCATAAATCCCAGTGATCGCCTAGATGAAAGTTGGCTTTAAAGGAACCAACAGTTTAATTTTTAACAGTTTGCATAATTGTACTGTTTAGTGTACAGTTGAGTATGTTTCGATGGATACCAAAAAACTGATTTTAATACGATTAAGACAATACTCTGATTCAAAGTCTACCATGTTAACAGCATTTATGATTAATTTAGTCTGATAAAGGTCATAAACGGACTAAACAGAAATTGATTTAAGACATGTATGGTGATTTTAGCCGCATTATTGAAGTGCGGTCCAGACACCTTAATCAAACCATTACCATCGTGTAGGATTTTCAACTCTTTTTGTGACAGGATAGTGTATACACACACGGCAGTTTGACACTATTCTCTGCACCTACCGAGTCCACAGTGTGAAAGACCACAGACACACACATCGTGAAATGCGGAGGTTTTTGTTTCCATACAGCATGCAGTATCAAATTCCATGAAAACAACACTCTTCCAGCGGATCATTCTCGCATCCAATATCTTGTTTGTCACGGGGAGCATGCATGAAATGCTCCTGAATGATAATGAAAGTGCCAAACTGCAGTTAAAGTCGACAAATTAAAAGTTAAAAACATGAAATTACATGAAACTCCGGAGGAAATATGGATAGCGTGATGACGGTAATTGAATTGTGTGCTATAACATCTAAAATGGGATCATGAAAGGGAACATATAGAAAGCAACTCATATAAACACCTTAATCATATTATTTTCTTATTCAAATTAAGGCAAGTAATTGATTACTCATGTCCTTGTAAACGTAGTCATTGAAAAACAAGCTATTGATAGGAAGACACCTGATGAGAACTGAATCCATAGCAACTAGTTTCTAAATAATCATTTGATTGTTAATCATATATGCTATAATATATATGGATGGCAGTCATTCAACAAAAAATAGTTTCAAGTCAGTTATTTCTATATTTTGCATTAGTGTGTAAATATCAGTTTATATTTACCCCACTTCTTTTTAAGATATCATCATGTGGGCTTTTATTACGAAGTATTCTTTAGTATTCTGAATTTGGCTCTCTTGTTTTTGTTCTTCTTTATGGGAAGAGAAATAAAAGCTCTACAGATTTGATACATTATGATAATGTTTTTAAGGACATAATTCCTTTTTGAGCTTATATTTGTCTGTCTCTTGATTATGAAATAATCAACCCTTCATGCAATGCGAATTCAGTACGGTACTGTGGAGCTAGATTATTGACTTCTTTGTAAACAAATAAGAAAAAATTTAAATCAATTCTGTATTTAATGGGTAACCAGTGAAGTGCAGCTAAAATAGGAGTTAGGATGCAAACCTATTATTATTTTTCATTTTATTGTTGCTGTTGCATTTCATTTTTTTCTTTGTTTTTTACTATTCTTACTCTCGCAAGTTTTGGCAATAAAGAAACATGTTTTACAGTATTATAAAACTAAAAAAAAAGTACAAAATACTAAAGCATTTTAAATACAAAATATTAGCTATTTTCATCAGCCTTACCAAATCCATATTACAAATTACTATTTTACATCTAAAATACGTATTTCAAAATACATGTACCATACATATTGCCCATGTTTGTTTCTGCTAAACACAAAGGAAGTTATTTAGAAGAAAAAGTACTATTGGAGTATATGGATGCAAAATCCTTTTTTGTTTTTCGGTAAACAAAGAAATTTACACAGGATTGAAGCAACCTGGGGCTCAGTAAATAATGGCAGAATTTTCATTTTCGAGTGAACTATCGCTTTAAAAACTGCCACAGTCAGGAGAGAGTATTAACATAATGAATGAGTAATTTGAAGCACTCTCAGCTAGCTTGATGAAAGCCTGAATGAGATTAATTTGTTATTCATAGATGTTTTTGTGCTTCCTCTTCAGTGTGTTATGATGACGATCTTACAGACGCACTGTTCAGAACAATATACAGACTCTCCAGCAACATGAGAAAGCCCAGCACAGCATACATCTCAATAGAGAAGAGGTTAGAAGAAACATCAAGACATTCACATCACAGTCGTGTATCCTTGTAGCTGGTTTGTTTGCATACACAAGTCATCTTTGTTAACGTTAAGAGTATTCATTTAAATTTAAATAGAATAATTATTATTAAAGTTTGTAGATAAATAATAAAGTTAAATAAATAAATGACAAAATTAAATTTCGATTTTGGCAAATTGAAATACAAATTTGCTTAAAGAGTTCTAACAATATTAGGTGCATAAAAAATTGCATACTTTAGCACTATTTTATTCCCTTTTGCAGTATAAATAGTCCATTCACACTGAAAACTCCAAAAAGAATAAGTGCACTTTAAATACCCAAATGATGAACTTATTCAACTGTTAAAGAGAAGTGTAAAATGTTGGACACTTCATCCATTCAACGACTGCAGCTTTGCTCGCGTATCAGAAGGGAGCTTTTGAGCACTGATGTTGAAATACTTTATTCATTTTGGATTGTTAAAAGCAAATTTCTCCTATGAGAGTGATTATGCGGCCTCCCGATGGTGAATGCGGTTAAACTCATGGCAGGTATTATTAGTAGTTTGGTCATTTATTTGACTAATTTGGCAACCGTCAAACATCATCTGGGAAATGGTTTAAATTTCCGCTTAGTAAAAAAAAAAGCATTAGTGTTCCATTTGGGATGACACTATATTAGTAGTAGAAAAAAAAAATTGATAGGAAATACTGTGGAAATTTCCTTGCTCTATTGAACATCATTTGTGAAATATTTTAATATTTTGACTTCAACCATATATATATATATATATATATATATATATATATATATATATATATATATATATATATATATATATATATATATATATATATATATATATATATATATAATGCACACATATACAGTGCATCCGGAAAGTCCGAAAATCCTTTACGTCCTCAAAATTCTACACACAATACCCCATAATGACAATGTGAAAAAAGATTTTTTTTAAATTGTTGCAAATTTATTACAAATACAAAACCTGAAAAATCACATGCACATAAGTTTTCACAGCTTTTGCTGTGAAGCTCTAAATTGAGCTCAGGTATAGGTTCTGTTTCCACTTTTAAATTCCAAATTTCAAATTCAGTTGATTGAACATGATTTGAAAAGGCATACACCTGTCTATAGAAGGTCCCAGGGTTGACAGTGCATGTCAAAGCACAAGGCTAGGGAAGGTTACAGAAAATTTTCTGCTGGTCTGAAAGTTCCAATAAGCACAGTGGCCTTAATCATTTGTAAGTGGAAGATGTTTGGAACAACCAGGAATCTGCCTAGAGCTGGCCAGCCATTTGAGTGATCGGGGGTGAAGAGCCTTAGTCAGGGAGGTGATCAATAACCCGATGGTCACTCTGTCTGAGCTCTATGGTTCTTTTGTGGAGAGAAGGGAACCTTACGGAAGGAAGCCAGAATTATTAGCCCCCCTGAATTATTCACACCCCTATTTAATTTTTTCTCCAATTCCTGTTTAACGGAGATAAGATTTTTTCAACACATTTCTAACCATAATAGTTTTAATAACTCATTTCTAATAACTGATTTATTTTGTCTTTGCCATGATGACAGTAAATAATATTTTACTAGATATTTTTCAAGACACTTCTGATATTTAAAGGCTTAACTAGGTTAATTAGTTTAACTAGGCAGGTTAGGGTAATTAGGCAAGTTATTGTATAATGATGGTTTGTTCTGTAGATTATCTGAAAAATTAACTTAAAGGGGCTAATAATTTTGTCCCTAAAATGGTTTTTAAAAAAATAGACACTGCTTTTATTCTAGCTAAATTAGTTAATTAATTCTCTAGAAGAAAAAATATTATCAGACATACTGTGAATATGTCCTTGCTCTCAGACCATAAGAAACCAAATTCTCTGGTCTGATGTGACTAAAATTGAACTCTTTGGAGTGAATGCCAGACATAACATTTGAAGAAAACCAGGCACCATCATGGTGGTGGCAGCATCATGCAGCGGGGATGTTTTTCAGCAGCAGGTGATGTCCTTGAGTGGCCCAGCCAGAGCCCAGACTCAAATCCTATTGAACATCTCTGGAGAGATCTGAAAATGGCTGTACACCATCGCTTCCCATCCAACCTGATAGAGCTTGAGAGATACTGCAAAGAGGAATGGGCAAAAATTCACAAAGACAGGTGTGCCAAGCTTGTGGCATCATATTCAATAAGACTCGAGGCTGTAAATGCTGCCAAAGGTGCATCAACAAAGTATTGAGCCCAGGCTGTGAATACTTATGTACATGTGATTTTTCAGCTCTTTATTTTAAATAAATTTGCAACAATTAAAAAATATATATATTTATTCAAATTGTCATTATGGGGTATTGTGTGTATAATTTTGTGGAAATAAATTAATCCATTTTAAAATAAAGCTGTAACATAAAAAATGTGGAAAAAGTGAATTTATACACATTTTATGTATATTAGTATTTGAATATGGGCTAGTAAAGTTGCAAGTAATTAGTATATGTAACTGAACATACAATTTTAATATAATCAGTAATTGTAATATTTTGAAATATCTGTTATAAATTTAGCTTAAATTATTACATGTAAATTCTCAATCTGCTTTTAATTTTTTTTAATTTAGCATGGCTTCAATACAATTAATTTTTTTAATTTGTAATTTAGAAACCATAAATGGCTTTAATATATTTAGCTTGGAAAAAATATATTCATATACAATCTGCAGGTTTAGGCATTAACTAAAAACTTAATGTATGAAATAAACTTTTTAACCTTTTTAACTTTTATTTAATGTTTACTATACAAATCCAATTAGATTCACTTATTTGCTAAATAAAGCAAGTCTCATATATAATGTATCTACTAAAAGACAGAAATTATTACTTTACAAAAAATATTTTAAACAAATCATATGAACATTTTAATATTAATATTATTATATCACAATAATATTAGTGAAATTAGTTTTAAAAATTAATATAAATTTACACACATTTACACAAGTAAAAACCTAGAGTCAATGACGAGCTAAAAATCTGCAGATTTCTGCATGTTTAGATTCCGCATTGGCCTGGTTATTAGTCAGTATACATTATTAGTTTCTATCAAATGAAAAACGATGCTTCAGGGCTCCAGATCGGTTTATTTGCAGCATTTATCAGCAGTGACTAACAGAGCCGTGCTGGTCAAGAAAAACCTTCCCCTATTATTCCGTTTGAAAGGTTTCTGTGTTTTGGCAGATTGAACTTCACACTGCAGCACATGGACGTGTCCTGTGAAGCTTATGATCACTTCCGCCACTGTCTAGACCAGCTACAGCAGATGAAAGACGGAAAGATGAATTTCAAAGTAGAACTCGTCAAGATCTCTTTTCCTCAGTTCTTCCAGTACGAAAGAGTCGAGCAGCTGGTGAGCTCTGAGTTCATTATTGCTCTAAATTTTTATATTTGATTGCTAATGATAATATTTGCTTTTTCTGATCTGTCAATCGTGCTCTTATTACTTGGTGTTATTATTAGTATTTTATGCATTCAGTGGATTGCATTTTGATTTACAATATATTAATATTATTGGATTCTCTTCTCTGCTTCTTTGTAGGAACTCTGGAAGGTGACAGCAGAGAGACTTAATAAATAACTCAGGTTTTTAAGGTTTGATTTAACACCAGGATTTGTCTCGTCTTTGTAAATCCTGTTTTAACTAAAGGGATAGTTCACCCAAAAATGAAAAGCTGCAATTAATTTGACCCTCAGGCCATTCAGGAGGTTACTTTTTTCTTTGATTTAACATTAAAGCACATTTTTTAGCTAAAATTGTGGTACTTGGTGATTCACAAAATGTAAAGTAAATGGCTATTGGCACTTTGAGAGTCACAAAAAACACATACAAGCAAAATAAAATTAGTACTCTGCTCCTAATGATACATTGAGGTCTTTTGAAGTGAAGTGACATCTTTACTGCTTTGAACTTGTTCATGACTGTTTGAAGTCGCTATGGGTTAACAGTAATAATGTTATAGATAATGTTCAGTTTTCTTGTGAATGACTGTAGATATGTTGTTGTTATTTTTTACTCTCAAAGTGTGTATACATGCATATTATGAATCACCAAGGACCAAAAACATGACAAAAAAAATCTTTAAATTATCTGAAGAAAAAAATATCTACATCTTGATTGACCTGAGGATACGTTTTTAAATAATAATCAGATTTTTACTTTTGAGTTTTTTTTTTTTTTTTTTGAGTGCTTAACTTGATCATTTGCTCTTTATGTTATTTAAATGTAACATTGCAAAAGAGAATACTGTTTAAAATGTGAATGTTAGGGTTTTACTGTGACCAGCTTGAGTTTTTAGGATTCATTATTGGGATGTTTTGGGGTATTTATTTGGGGTATTTTTAGAACTTTTGAAGCAGAATGTTTTGTTAGTGAGGTAATAAAGTGCATTTACATAAAGTACATGACATAAATGAATCTCATTTTTAAGATATCTATTTTTGAAGTAACATTAGAAATATTGATATGTATATACAGTGCACTTAAAGGGATAGGGGAGCATGGGGCACGAAGTAACCCAGGGTAAAATTTAACTTGGTGTTTTAAGGTATTTGCTCACGGTTAATCATGGCATACTTCCGAGGTTTTCACCACAGTGACAGCAGATGTCTTCCTACCAATTATTGAAAAAGTTCTGCTAAATTGGAAACACAGGAGAAAGCATTTTTGCAGCATAAACGTATTTTTATAATATTTGTATATACTTTTAAAAAAATGTAAGTATGTAGGAAAAATCTTATATTGATGTGATTACCGTCTTCTAGGCTAAAAGGTGGAACCATTTTGAAAGATGTAAAAAACACAGTAACTGCTAGACAGTTTTAAGGAAAGCATGACATAGTGGAGTTAGTTGTAACAGGGTGTTACAAATAAGCCACACGCTGTTGGACACCAAATAAACTAACTAAATATTTTGTGATGTGTAGTGTTGGAAACTTTTTATATGAAAATGTTTAGCAAAAACTTTGTATAATATGCAGATAAATCCAAATGTGTTTATTTAATAGATATATAAATAAACATGCTGTGCTATGTAGAATAAAAAAAGAAGTGAGTTAAGTACTAAGGAAATTTACTATTTAAAGTAAACTTAATTTAAATGAATTGTCTGAAATCTGACTTTATAAGCATGTTACAACTAACCCTCTCTCTCTATGTTACAACTTGCCCGCAGGTTGGGTAAATAGTCATAATTTTACTCCTGGCACTTTTGAGAATACTGCACAGAAACCATAGGTCTGGCAATCATACTTTCAGTGCTCATTTGTAGGAGAGGCTTGTGTGTTGTTGGTAAAAAAAAAATGGTTTGTCTAACCTCATTACTTTGTTCATTATTTGGGTAAAACCAAAAAGTGTTACTTTGTTCCCTGCTCTCCCCAAGTTCACACACAACTGAAGATTCTGTCATCATTTACGCTCCCTCCACTTGTTTCACTACTGTTGGACTTTTTTCTTTTGTTAAACGCAAAAGAAAATATTTTGGAAGAAAGTGGTAACATTGAGTTCCATATTTTTTAAATACTTTGGAAGTCAATGGCTACAGTTTTTCATTTCTCTTCAAAATATCTTCCTTGTGGTCAACAGAAAAAAGAAACTCAAACAGTTTTGGAGTTAATAAATGACAGAACTGTTATTTGTGGATGAACTGTTCCTTTAAGTAGTGTTGTTGTATTTCTCTCTTTGAACACTAGAGGATGCAAGAGTTTGGAAAGGACAGAAACATTATCGAATTATAAGATAGATGGCAACATATTCACAAACTAATCTCTGTCAGGTTTGACCAGTTTTTCTGGCCTTAGCTAATTGTTCATTGCTAGCCATTCAATTTAGTCGACCTTGTTGGTTAGTGTTGTTTTTAGTTGACTGGAATATGGCCATCGTTTTTAAGATCATTGTTTGTTTTGAAGTTGCCATGGAATGTTAAAGAACCAATAAAATGAATCAGTTCTGTTGCAGCAGTCTTTGTAGTCTACTATTTAGTTCATATTTAGGCTGTTTTTAGCTTCTGCCATTAAATGATAGTATGATAAATAAGAATCAACCAAACCCTCTTCAATTCTGTCATCAAATTAGTGTTTTGAGCATATCTTTGAAGTGAATCATCATAAAACAATATTTCTTTGTTTTATGTAACGACCCCCTTGTTTGAGTCTCAGATAACAACATGATCTATATACTGTAACTTATTTATTATACATAGAACTAATCGAACAAGAAATCAAGCACAAATGTTTAGGGATAAATATAACAAGATAAAGAACTTCATTCACAACTAACTTTAACTACATGATATAAATAATGCTAAACGAAACCATGTTGAAAAAGATGGCCTTGATACGAGGACGTGCAAGTAGCCACACCGCCCTCCAGAAGCTAGCACAGCACTCTTATTTATATGCATTAAATCAATTGATGAGCAAACAGGCATCCAATCAGGATCTGCCACATCCAAACTAGAATCTTGAGGTCGTCACAATTTGTCATGAATGAAAACAAATGAACAAATCAGTTAATGAACAAATTGATTAAGTGAGGTTTAATAAATTTTCATTAGACCTTTAAAAAAGAAATTGTCATTATTATTATCCAACTTAAACTATTAATATAAAAAATGATATACATAGTTATTGTAAATTAATGGTAGACGTTTGCAGGTGTACAAAACATGTCTCCTTAGTATATTTTTTAGCCTGATAAAAGTTGATGAACATGTCTGTAAAGCTGATCTGTTTTACTAAGATACATTCGAATTATCTACCAAAGATAACCAATCATGACTAATGTCCAGCACATAACTGATATCATTATGATAATTTACATTGTTCCTTTGTGAAATGACAATTTATTTTGTAAGTAATCGGCTGAATGATTATCGATTCCATAATGCCGCCTACTGGCAGTCATGGATGGCAGCATTAATGCTATGGAAAATCAATTTAACTAGTGAAAACACATTTTTTACTATGCATTTTTATATTTGTAGAATTTGAATCCTTGTTATCAAGATATAACAAAATGTCATTATTGAAATCAAGAATTAACATATTTACTATTGGAAATATAGTTAATTGAACTTTAAGGTGAAACACTGCAAGAAACAACCCAAAAAAAAAAAAAAAAACAGTTTGTCAATTTAGCGATTTTGTGCTTTTTGACTTTTCCAAGTGGTTTATCTTTAGTGAAATGTAAAGATTACACTTTTAATTGTTTCACAATTTATTAATTTGTAGATTTCAATTACTATAGATATATTTTTAAAAAGGCAGAGCCATAACTCTCCACATCAGCATCGCTTACCATCACAACTTCACAGCTGTATTCATATGCTAAAGGTTTTATGGTGCTGAATGTTCAAATAAAATTGGCCTTATGTATTCTGCAACAATACAAATTTAAAAAATTGTTGTGTATTTGTTTATTTTCTGGCTGTTCATTGTATTTTCTGAATTATGTTTCATTTTAAAAAGAGAATATCTTCTGAATTTTTTAATAATTTTTTAACTGGACTTCAGGTGTTCAGATTTGATTGCCATAATCTGCAAATCAGCGCATATTTCATTTGAAATTCTGCATTAAATGCATTTTTAAATAAAGCATTTTAGAAAACTTGAAATGAGATTTTTGTTTGCAGTGCATTTAATCAGTGCATTCCCTTACGAATGATACAAATTCATTATTTTAATAACAAAAAATAAATAAATATAATGTTTAACCCTTGATGCACTATAAAATAGGTAGAGAAAAAATAAACGGGTCACTTTAGACCCATGTAGTGCATCGAAGGTGTAAGAAAATAATCATTATCGGTATTATTACAATGTTAAGTATAGTTACCATGTCAAATTATTATAATAATGTCGCCCTTTCTTATTGGCAGTGATGCATCAGTGAACGAAATTTATAGTTAACGGCACCCTTAATTCAAATGATTCCAATCCCGGGTATGAATCAATACTAGACTGGAGCTTTTGGATGACATTATGGTAAATGTGAAGTGCTGAATGCACACAGCTGTGCTTTCTGTAAGCAAGCTGACATTTCCGGGAGCCGCAGGTCTCTTTCTATTGGCTGAAGTCCGTGGATCCCCCAACAAAACCCTCCTCTCGGGGAAAAGGCCAGACTTCAAATGATGTTTTAAAGTCCGACTGTGCTCCTCACTCTTTCTTTCTCCTCTTTTCTTTCTCGTGGTTCCACCGAAAACCTGCTAGGTTAAATTCTCGAACGTCAGACACGAAGGTGAGTCTTTAACCATTATCAAGTATCGTTAAATTAGCGGCGGAGAGTGTTGGGAAAGAGACGCTGCATCGCTTGCAAGCATGCGGTTTGTTTTGGTTTTTCATGAATCATAAGTTTATCGTACATTACACAGGTAACGGCACGAGCGGCTCGGTTTGCGTTATTGTAATCATTCTGGGCTATCGTGTTGGTTATGAACGCGTTTCATATGAAACACTGCAGCGGTATGAGACGGTATAACTGGCCTGCTGCATCGACTCGATTCCTCCATACGTCTCGCGCTCAGAACCGTTTGACAGGTCAGATCCAGTCGGAACCGGATACTGTTGCGCCTCAGTTCCACCAGCTGCTTTGTGTGCTGCAAGTTTTTATGTGGTTAGTCTCAGATTTGATGCTGATTCTGGCAAAAACAACGTAAGCCAAATGTGATATAAATACATTAATTTAATGGCTTTTCATAACATGCAGGTTTTGGTTTATATAATGGATCCTGACTGAAATGTCTTTGTTGAATAGACCTTGTCTGTCTGTCTGTCTATCTATAAACCAGATTAAAAAAATCTAAATAGTAGTTTTATTTAGTATTGGGTATTCAGTTTTAATTCGTTTTAATTTTAAAGCTGTAATGCAGAGATTATTGTAAATATTGCTGAAGTGATTTATTTAATCTGTAAAATCTATGAGGTTATTTAGAAATAAATCATTGTGGAAAAGCCACGAAAAGAAAGCCTGTTTGTTCATCATTAGCCAATCAGATGTTGTCTGGGTTGTACTGCAGGTTGCTGTTGAACGCACATGCTGTTTCTTGCACATCCATGTGAGGTGTTGTTTACATGTTCAGCTGCTCTTGATTCATGTGCTGTCATCATCTCAGGTAGACATGATCTTAGACTTGTCAATTTTCCCTCATGTGTCTCGAATATCTTTGTGAGTGACTATGTTTTGTTTAATTTGAACCATATATCAAATTCAGTTAATGTTTCATCCTACATTGAAATAAAAATGCTGCAATATTGTTGCAAACAATTTATACAAGTTAAATTTAAACAATCAAATTTGTTTAAGTTCAGCCCAAATAAATTGTTTGTAATCACTTAACGTTATATATATATATCAAAGGAATCGTCTTTAAATATTTTTTTTCCAGGGTATAGTTGATGAACAATATTGTTAATGTGTCTGCTTATATTACAAGCTAATGTATATTTATATGGTTGCAAATATCAAAAAAGTAGATGAAACTAAATATCATAATAGTGATAGTCAGGAACTCTATTCATAGTTTTCTAAAAAAAAAAAAAAAGTTAAAGTTGTAAATTTGCATTTATCACTTAATACTTAATATGTCTAAATAATTAATATGTTAGTGTATGCTCCAGAAGTTTGGTAAAAAAATCTTTTGTACTCATTAGTTGCGGATATCTTTTACTTTCTCACGTACATGTTAATAAGGACATTTATTGTTGTTTTGTTTCTATTAATTTGTGTAATTTTTCCATTTCTTTATTGTTTTCAAACTGCAGATGAAAAATGGGTTTCTGCCCTAAATTTAACTTCACACTCAAACTAAATTTACAAGTAATTTTAACTTGCATCAATTAAACTGAAACATCTAAGTCATACAAATTTTGTCTTGTATTAAATTTAATATTTGATTACTGCGTCATAATATTTAAAAGTGTTCCCATGACCTGTCTACTAGGGCTGCACAATATTGTTTCAGCATCAATATTGCAATGTGTGTATCCGCAATAGCCATATCGCAGCATATGCAATGTGGAGTTGGGGTTATTATTGTTGATCAGCAGTGAAGAATGCACAGCTTTACATTACATTTGATTATTCAATAATAGGGGCAGGACAAAATGCATAAGGTGTCTCTTGTAATGACGGATTGAACATATATCAATGATGCAACTCTAAGAAATATATATGCGGTTAATAGAAGAAATACATCTTAACTTTTTTATCCATTTTTTTCCTCTTCCTTTACAAATGTTATGATATAGTGTGTGTGGTTTTCTTGTGATATTGCCGATTTCATCATCTATTATTATCGGGGCAAAATATGTTAATATCATATTGTTTTACTGTAACTGAATATCAGACTACTTATTTCCCTTATCTTTGCTCTCTTGTTTATTGCAACTTCTTTGTTTCACTCCTCTACAAGATTATTCCAATCAATCTAAGTTAATGATTTACTTTCAAATAGAGCTATTCTAGTCATCTGCCGAAGCTCTGGTCATATCGCAATATAAATGCAAGGTTCAACAATAAGGACTGCCTAATAGCCCGGGACCAGCTTGAGAGATGCCCAGTTGGGCCTGTGCTGCCTTGTCATATTTTAATTTGCCTGCAACTATTAGGCAATTGTGTGCAAATAGGGATGCAACGATTCTAGATTTTGGTTGTACAATTATATTCCTAGGGTTAAACATGGTTATTTGTTATGCATTTATTCTTTTCAAAATACTACTAGTTTAGAAAATCTTATGAAAACTTATATTTTAAAGTGTTGTTTATCGCTGCTCAGTAACTAATTAATACAGCACAAAATAATAATAAAATCAAACAATATACTCCCTTTCTCTTTGGACTTAAAACATAATTTAAACATAAGTAATAACTTTATACTGAATAAATAAATAGTTTTTTTGTCTAATGTAAATCTAAGCATCATATTAGCTAAGTATTTCTTTTTTAAACTGAACAAATGTAGTCAAAGACTGCTGAACCTCTGTCTGAAAGGCACGGTTATGCACACAAACCATTTGCCTTCATTGGAAATAATGAACTTGTGTGCGTAAAAGATGGAATATGTTAATGGCCCTTAGTTAAAAATCTCCTCAGCCATAGTTAAAATCAGCCTTCAATCCAGTGTGCTTGCGTATTGTGGACAAGCTCGAAACTTTAAACTAGTACACAGTTGGCATAACTTTTAGTTGCAGCAGTTTTGTTCCATACAGAAACGCTGTATTGAGAAGTCTTTACGATTAATTAATCGGGACTAATCAAGCTGTGGTTAATAGTGAAATTGGTTAATCGTTGCATCCCTACATGCAAATCTTAGAATCGAGAAACAAATTGTGTTTTTGAATGCTACCTCCTCTGTGAAGTTGTAAACACTATATTGCTTTTTGGTTCCTTTTATCTGATTGGGTGCCGTGAGAATGTTTTTTCTGTTTTTGCATAACCTAGTAAAAACCAGTACAGCGAAGAGATGGCAACATGACGGCAACATCAAATTATGAGGCTAAAAGAAAATGTCTGTTTCTGACGTTGTGAAAGCAGACATTTACATGGGTACAACACGGCGAAAAAATGAAGTGATGTTTTGCAGTTTGCCGTCACTTTTAAGTCAGCCACCTTTTGTTTTGCAATAAAATACCTGCACATTTTCCATACTGCTATAGTTTATTTAAACCAACATTTTAAATAATAACATTTTAATTAATAAATTTTAATTAGTAACATTTTAAAAATATTTAAATTCTAGATTCACAGACATTATTTTTGACACAAAAGTGGTAAGAAATAAGCAATAAACTAAGCAATTTTTATTTTTAAAATGTTATTATTTTTATCATATTTTTTTATTTATTTATTTGTGGGGCCAGTGACAATTTTGGCAGGGCAAGTAAAAATCTAAAACACTGGTCTAATCGGGCCAGTAGAAAATATCCTTAGCGTTAAACCCTGCCATGTCAGATTTTTCAATATCGTGCAGCCCTATTGTCTACTGTGCAAAAACAATTCAATTACACAAAATATTGGCAGTGGTTGAATTCCACACCCATACTGTCCGGGTATGAATTTGAACTATTGCGTATGTAAACTGATATTAAAATTTCACTTTACATGGTAAGGTTAATCAAACCTTTTAGTTAGTTACACCAACTCTTGATTAATATATTCTTGTATAACAGTTACAGTTAACAGGTTTGTAAACATTTATTTAAATGTTGTACAGTTTGTACAGCGTAGCACAAAGATTGACAGATAACTGACATGCTTAGTCATGTAATCGTGGAGCAGTTGTTCTGGAATGCTTTATTTATTTTTTTATTAAAGCGCATGAAAGCTTTTGTCTGTACATGCATGTTTGCACAAAAGCAGCTGTCATTCCTATGTGCTGTTGCAAATCAAATGCCCTGTTTTTACGATGCATTAGTGCTTAATCCTGCAATACTGTCTATGTCATGCTTTTGTTTTAAATGAATCAGCTACACGTTTCTTATTTTAGATGAATTGATATGCATGCAAGTTGCATTTAACCCACATCCTACTGCTTAAGTAAGATTTATCCTTTTAATAGCCTCCCAGTTTGCCCAGCAGAGGTTGTGTCACCCAGACAAGAACAACAGTCAGTCGAACAATTGTTTTCCTCCACTGGTTCCCTTGGCAACCGTCTTACAGTATTTTTCAGACTGGTGAGGTTTTACCTTCTCAGTCTTCCTGAATGGTCCTTTTTTCATAAGCCATTTATACAGAGATCAAATAAAGACTCATAATTCCTATTTCAACTTCATAACCGTTTTTTACTGACTGTTTGTATTAGTCATCTTTTCATAGCTTCCATATGCAATAGAGATTTTTAGATTCTTATCTTTGTAATGAAATCGATAAGGGGAAAGTGTGAGCCTAGCGAGAGCATTAAATCCTTTGCCGTATTAATATGAGCGAGCAAACAAAAGGATGACTTCTGCATGACCTAATAGGCTGTTTGAATCATGCAGAGGGGAATTGGTGTAATGAAGTTTACCAATAGGCTTTAACGGGGTTAGTGATGAGCATTATGCGCACTGAACCGTGCTCATATCCCTCACTGACAGCTCATTGTGTTTCGTTATCTCTCCAGCGATCAAAGTTCATTCGGTGCTTAATGTCTGATCAGGATTATCATGAATATTCCACAGAGCATAAACCAAAATTGGACCTGATATGGCAATCAGGTTTGAAAATCAGTTGTCTGAATCTCTAAATTTTGAAAGTGAGCT